ATTGTCAATTACTGGCGGTATACAGAGCCTCTCTTCACCGCGGTCAATGCCTCATTTCCGTGCCTGGAGGAACCACATGTAGGTCGCTGCTGTGTTGATACGTGAGGACAAAACACACGAGGTCTATATGTCATATGTGAACAGGGCGTCGTTAGCGGACAAATCACAATACAAAAGTATTCTATATTTTCGTTTCCGCATTCGTGTTAGTGTTTTGACATGCATCATGATGTAATGAAAGGCCATATTATATGGTACTGTTTGTTTTAACGCCTCACTCAGCAATATGCCTGTATCAACTATATGGCGGCGGTCTGTGAAATAAAGAGACTGAACCAGACAATCCAGTGATTGACATCATGAACATCGATCTACGCAATTGGGTTACGATGTCATGCATTAACCAAGTCAGCGAGCCTGACTACCCGATCCCGTTAGCCGCCTCTTACGACAATTGGTTGGTTAGTTGGTGAAGACCAGTTCTAACCTGTGTCTGTTTGGTAGTGAGGTGACATAGGATTTAATTCAAGAATATTGCACTAATATTGCGACGTTCATGCATGAGTATGTGCGTGCGTGCGTGTGCTGTTTAGTTCGGACTAACCCCGAATTATATGGTGCAAGTAGAATGCGGCAGTATAAAATGAATATCTCAATCGGATACAGTTTATCACAATGGCCCCCTGCCAGTTATATTCGGACACTTGACGTAATTTCCATAGACTAGTGTAGATTAAATAATTTTCATGAATTTAATTTTCGTAAGATCCAAGTCAAATTTTACACATTTGTGAGGAATCATCTTACCTACAGTCACATAATTTCTGTTTAATTTTCCGTTGCTTATTTATCGAATTGAAACAATTTTATCGACATACGTACAGTGCCGTGAACTCCATTAACATGGCGGCCTATGGGATTGTGCATTGTGGAACCATACATAAGTTGATAAATGTGATGTCATTAGTTAAATAGTGGTCGGAAATTGAACTGAAATTATGTGCGCAGAGCAGAGATGATTTCACATTTGCCTGTCAAATTTTACAAAGATCCATCCTAAATTCACTTCATGAAAATTATGTATGCTACACTGGAATAACATGTAACTCTATGGGAATTACGTAAAGTGTCCGAATATAACTGGCACGAGTCTGTATATATGGTCATTTTTTCATCGCTTTAATGCTGAACGCCGTTCTGGGTAACAACAACAACAACCACTGCAACGTCTTCAGGTACGACGCGGCCGGCCATCGATCCCACCAGACACTAATCAATCGACCACGGAGACGGTCTCAATTAAAGTACACACAAATGAATGGTTAATCAGACTTTGCCTTCAGCAACCCGCTGTTGGTGTGTGAGGTGACCAACGGGATGGGGAGGTCAGATTAGCTCACTTGAATTGTTCAATGCATGCCATCATGTCCCTTTGTGCAAATAGATGCTCATGATTGCAATCACTGGATAGTCTGGTCCAGACTCGAATGTTTTCACACCTTCGTCATATAGCTGGACTGGCTGGCTGAATTTAGTTTTACGCCGCTTTTAGCAATATTCCAGCACGGCGGGGGACACCAGAAAAGGACTTCACACATTGTACCCATGCGGGGAATCGAACCCGGGTCTTCGGCGTGACGAGCGAACGCTTTAGCCATTAGGCTAGCCCACCGCCCCCATATAGCTGGAATAGTGTGTCGTTGAACAACAAATAAACACTATTATATCCGCGAGTGGGTGAATTCAGTTTTAACCTACCTCCGCCCGGAGAGCGGAAGGTCGCAGGTTCGATCCCCGACCGCGTCATACCAAAAGACGTTAAAATATGGTACTTGTTGGTCCCTGCCTGGCGCTCGGCATTAATGGGTACAACAAGGACTGGTCGGCTCGAGTCAGTATAATGTGTCTGAGTGGGGTATTCATGCTTCACTGCGGCATGGTATCTCAGTTCGCTAGCACTATAAAACCAGCTTAAGCCTGGGCTAGTACAAGCAGCTGCATTATATACATACACACGAATGCACGTCGTCATATGAGCGAAATATTCTCAAGCACGACGTAAAACCCAATTTCACCTCACCTCACCTTTAACCTACCTATATATGCTCAGAAGCTGTACTGAATGATAAGGTCAAGGATGTGTAGTAATTGTGTTTTTATAATAGCCAAGTCCACAATGGCGCCAGTCTTCTACTTGACACTTTGTTGTTTATGTAATCTATATTTATTATTTCAAATAAGAATCGAATTAGAGATTAATGCTTGTGTTAGAGACGCCGCCTTGAACAATATTCCAGTTACACGAGGACGTGTCGGCTAAATCGGGAATGAAAACCTGAAGGGAGACAGGTCTCACACATTTACCTTTTAGTGAAACTAGCTTGGCTAGAGTGTGCTGGTGTCTGATCAATCATAGGTTTCTGGTGCTCCCAAGGGAAGCAACTCTGAACAGCGAATTGCGGCGCCTGACGACTTTGCCACCCTACTCGCTAACCCATAGGAGTGAGTGAGTTTAGTTTTACGTCGTTTTTAGCAATATTCCAGCAATATCACGGCGGGGACACCAGAAATGGGCTTCACACATTTCACCCATGTGGGGAATCGAACTGGGTCTTCGGCGTGACGAGTGAACGCGTTAACCACTACCAGACTACCCCACCGCCCCTAACCCGAATAGCCTGAATACATGTGAATACAAGATCTGTGTTACAGTTTCGAGAAGAAACTGTTTATCTTTATGGCATTGACTAAGTTATGTGGAAACCCAGCATCTAAAGTGTCCCTTAATGATGAAAATTACACCGAATTTGGACGTTCTTGATTTCGTAATCAGCACTACATCAGTGTATAACAATCTGGTCTGCACGGACTTCCTGTGAGGCGGTACCGTTACGAATAGCGGAAATGTTTGGGTTGAATTTTGGTACGATTTTGTTTTAGTACCAGAGTTTCAGGGACAATGATCTTTAAGCCTATACGTTCTTACCCGCCGCGTTTTCAATTAAGGTTTGCTATACGGAGTGTCGCCGTGAGCTGGTTCATCCTTAAAATTCATTAGTTGCCATGGAAACGATCCGTAAAGTTAGAAGAAAAGCGGCACCCACTGAATAGACAAATTACCGCCCGGTAATTACTGCAAAAATGAATTTAAAAAAGAAGCTATATACATATTTATATTCTAATTTCTACCGGTGTAACAAAACATGGAGTCAAATCAGTCATAAAGAACTTATAACAATCACACATCACAGCGGATCTAAGTGGGGATGACAACCATTCTCAGTTTTGCTAGAGATGTTAAACGACACTTCTGAACAACTTCCTGATAGGAGAGAATATTAATTTTTAAATGGACGGCAAATGGGTCAAATTCTGAAATATCAATAAAATATTATGGGAATATTTATAACGCAGATATCCAGCCCAAAGCGCACAATCTGATCATTATTACCCCTGATTATAACCCATGGCCAAGCTGTCTGTTAGGCGCTATAGGAGGTTAATAGTCTCGACTTATCTCACCGGGTACCCATTTTCTGCTAGGTGAACAGAGACAATTTTGAACAAACTCCCTTGCCTAAGGTGAGATCATCACATGTATCATATGTGCTTCGTTGTGGGGCAGGATGAAGTCCTAGAAACTCTCAGGAGTCAAGCTGCCAAACACGGTCACCAATCCAAGGACTCTCCGCGCCCATCGTTGCTTAACTTCAACTGATAGTCACCTGCAGGAGCATTATACATATGCACAAGACCACACGCCACCACTGTTCATGTTATACGATAGTGAACAAGATGTCTTTAAGTTTCTTTCTCTGACAAGGGACAAAGGATGTTTATGTTTTGTTTGTTTGTTGTTTAACGCCAATATATTAATATACCAGCTATATGGTGGCGATCTGTAAAAATATAGATTGGACCAGACAATCCAGTGATTGACATAATCATGAACATCGATCTACGTAATTGGGATACGATGACATGTGTCAACCAAGTCGAGTCTGACCACCCGATCCCGTTAGTCGCCTCTTACGATAAGCATGGGTTGCTGAAGAACGAATTTAACTCGAATCTTCAGGGGTTAGATTTTATGGTTAAGCGAGGGTATTGTTTTATGCCGCAGACATGCTGTTGATTAACAGTTTAAGCACAGCACCATGCCATTGGTGTACATGGACGCTCAATCACCTGTTCAGCCAAGCAATCCCTCATTGTGGGGCTCCTCAAACACGCATGGTATATATTATTTTGAGACCATGGGCATTGAAACTGACATTCTTTACTATCTGTACCAGGAATGTCACAGGCCGAGCAGCCGTGAAGATCCGGGTTAGAATTGGTCTTCAGCAACCCATGCTTGTCATAAGAGCTCTGCGATTTAAGGAATAGGGTGATCAGGCTTTGCTGACTTAATTCACACGTCATTGTATCCATAGTGCGCAGATTAATGCTCATGCTGTTGATCACTAGATTGTCTGGTCCAGACCCGATTAATTACAGACCGCTGGGATATTGCTGAGTACGGCGTTAAACAACAAACAAACAGACCGACCGCGAGGCCGAAGGTTGATGGTATAGAATATATTAGTGGGATTTATATCCCGGAGGTCAGTTTTGACCTTGAATTTCCAAACAGGAGATCTGAGGGATGTTTTCCGTTTAATGTCATTCAAGAAAATGAACATTCAATAACAAAAAAACAAAAAAACAAAACCCAACAACATCTTGTCTTTGTTTTTACTATTATACATCGTAAAATGTAGTTATTCTTGAAAACTGTACAAAAAAATAAATGTCGATCTAGCCTAGTCCTTTTTGACATAGTTGTTCCAGGTGCCTCTTACAATACAATACGTTATTATTTTTTAAACTCATTTTCATTTTGGTGCAGAATGCCTTCGCTCTAACCGCAATGCCAACACAAACTAGACCAGACAAATTATTGTTGCAATATCGATCTGATGACATGTAGATTTGCGCCTAACCTGCACGGCCGTCACTGCCTCCTTTGTCACCTACAGTTCCATGACGTCACAGCGATGTAGGGGCCTAGTTCATTTCAGGACTGTGGCGCGTGCGGCACAGAATATGGCGGATACCAAAAAACATCGTCGCGGTGATGCCGCTCTAGACGAAGAAATTGCCGCCGTTTCTTGTTCTGGAAACATCATGGGTAAACGCGGAAGCAAGCTAACATCAAACGAAGTTAAGGATCTCATGTCATGCACATATTGTAAGTATCGACTGATCGTATGTGACAAGTTGCCGCTCATTGTCAGACAGTTGGCTGGTTCAATGTTTTGATGCTCTGACAAGCTCGTGTTGATGGCTGAGGCACGTGTACTCTTTGGCGCATTGCTTTTGTCTTATCGATTAGTTAACCTCCGTTGTCAACTATATCATAGTGAGTATTTGAGATTCACGGTACAGGATCTACCTAATTAAGCTGTAGATGCATCAATCTAGTTTGGATACCGGTACAGTCGACAAAGGCAAAGGTTTAGCATCCACAGGCACGAGCATCGTCCACTCTGTCAGCTGGTGATTTGACAGCGCAGAGCTTTGTATTGATGATATTTCCATTTGCAATCAATGCTATTCACGATCATGAAGTAAGCAGTAAAGTGTCAGAAAAAACTACCATGATCATGATGATAGGAGTATTTGTCACTTTGTGTTCTAAGCTCTAAAACTAGTAAAAGTCGAGTGATGAAAGTCGAGTGATGAAGGACTCCTTCAGTAATCATTATTTCTATATCAGAAGAGAAGATTTCATCGGATTTTATGTATTTCTAATTGATTCAGACAAATCAATTCCTGTTTTTCACTATCTTGCTCCTGTTAACAGTCCCCATGATCTGCTTAGCTTCTTCGGCAAGCAATCTTTCTGACATGCAGTTCCATGTCTGTTGAACTCTACCTGTCAACATTAAATTTTCTGATTCTCTCACAAGTTTCAAATCTCGCTTTGAAAACCTATCTCTTCAAGAGCACCTATTACTAACCCTTCAAACCCACGATGAGACCGCCTCCGTGGTGTAGTGGTTAGAGCTACCGCCGAGAGCCGGAAGGTCATGGGTTCGATCCCCCGACAGCGTCATACCTAAAGACGTTAAAATATGGTACTTGTTGGTCCCTGCCTGGCGCTCTGCATTAATGGGTACAACAAGGACTGGTCGGCTCGGAGTCAGTATAATGTGTCTGAGTGGGGTATTCATGCTTCATTGCGGCATGGTATCTCAGTGGACTAGCACTATAAATCCAGCTTCAGTCTGGGCTAGTACAAGCAGCCGCGCATACACATACACGCGTGCATGCACCTCGTCATAATGAGCGAAATATTCTCAAGTACGATGTTAAACCCAATTTCACCTCACCACACCTCAAACCCACAATGTATATTTTGTTGTATGTTATCCTCTGATTTTATTGTAGCGCCATGAGCATGCACAAGTGCGTGGATACAGACACATTATAAATGTCCGTATTTGTCAATACTGGTACAATATGTGTCATTACTATAGATCATTATTGAAGAAGTCTCAACCCACCACGTCCTACTTCTAGTACGTTAATCGTTCACTGCTGCAATGTCTTGTCAATTCTAGTTCAATAATCTAGGTGAATTGTGTTTGCAGTAATAATAACACAGCCAGATTTTATGATTGTCAGATCGGGGAGAAAAACTACATGGCAGCTTGTTTTCAGACTTGTTACAAGACCTGTTTTGACAAGCTGTCATTTTCAAACTCATTAGTGCCAATGCATCGTGTTCAAACAATTACTGTTATTGTATCAACTTGCTGTCCAAGGCCGCCAGCAGTAAAATGTCATGGGGCCAAGTATCGTCTTAGTAGAATCATTAACAGCTCTGCCAGACTGACAAAACCTGCTTGTTGCAAGTTCTGCATGCATGCATTCACTGCTGGTTTTGTTTGCATTTCATGCACTGGTGGCTTGTTTACGTATACTTTAGCACAGTTAAAGTCTGTTTCTTCAAGTAAAAAATAACAATTGCAGAGATGCCAACCCATACGATTTTATCATATTCAAGTACGAAAAACAACACAAAATACGAAATACAATATCAGTAAAATATATGAATTTTTAAAAATACATTAAAATTAAATTATCAAATTGCAAATGTACCATACACAATGAATTTCAACCACATTTCATTCAGTATCAAGCCATATGTGGATACTTACTACTTATTTAGGTGTGAGTACAATGTTAATAACAAGTTGTTAGAATAGTTATATGTTCTTTATAAAAAGTTATACTAATGTTTGCATCATTTTTGGCCAAAAGTTGACAAACTGATTGGGCTAAATTAGGGTTGGCATCTCTGCAATTGTCAAAATTAGTTATTTTCTTTAACTAAAGGTAAAATGGAATTCTGTCCTTTCATTTTGATGACAGTATTAAGCAAAGAGTCAAAGTAATGAGACGGTGAGGATGCTCCTGAACTGATAAACTTCTCTTTAAAGACATGTCTCTTTATAAACTATAAATGAAATTAGACTGAAATTTCAACCTTTGTCAGAAGATTACAGAACAGAAGCATTTGATTGGCAGAATTTGAACTTTATATATTTACAGTCTGGGCATATGTTTGAGACTGCTGGCCAGAACATGGATCTTAGCATCACTTCCATAGAATGTTGTGTCATATGATCTTGTGTCAGATGGATCCGTGAAGATCCGGGTTAGAATTGATCTTCAGTAACCCATGCTTGTCATAAGAGGCGACCAAAGGGATCGGGTGGTCAGGCTCGCTCACTTGGTTGACACATGTCATCGGTTCCCAAATGCACAGATCGATGCTCATGCTGTTGATCACTGGATTGTCTGGTCCAGACTCGATTATTTACAGACCGCTGACATATAGCTGGAATATTGCTGAGTGCGGCGCTTCACTAAACTTACTCACTTACTCATGTCAGATGGGTTTACTATACCAGGCGGAAAGACTCAGGGTTTGAACTTATGGCTAAAGTCTCAAACTGTATTCGTGTCTTTAAGTTTTTGTTTAAAATATAGAAATATTTGCTTTCAATATTGATTTCAATATACAAAGCCTTTGAAAGGCTACTAATATACTTAAGTATTTAAAGAAAATTAAAAAAATTGACATTTTTAATCAGTCTAAGTTAACTTAGGCGCCGTATTATTTGCTGCTGCACTGCCATACTGAGTCTAACAAAGACTAGCGACTAAAAACAAATAATGTTGTGGTTCTGATTACCCGACCGCAGGGATTTACATGGAGTCCTGTATTTGAGGGTCCCTGGGACTCATACTCTTAATTTTCAGGGGTCCTGGACAACAAAATGGGGGTCCCAGGCACTTAAATATTATTACTACTACTGTTATTATATTGTGTATCATGATCATCACATTGTTAGGGTAATTAATTGCAAATAATACCATAACCCAGCTAGTAGCAAACTCAGTGATAACTTATGGTCACGTGATTGGAATTTTTACAAATAGTATTTGGGCTTTTTCTGAGTCCCTGTGGACGCTCTAATAACGTTTGTTGTGTCTATTGTCAATTTCGGATGCAGGAATTCGAGTCCTGTAAATCTCTGCGACCAACCCTTGAATTCTGGTGCCGACCCTATTTTTTTTAAGCGGTATGAATAAAAAAAACTTTTAGATACCATTGTTTGTTTTTTCCAGCACTGATAGAGAAGGTCGACATGATGGCTGCAAGCATGACTGAATGAACGATTACACATTAATAAGTGTGTTATTAGTTTGTACTTTACTTCTAAAAAAAATTGTAAAATAAAAGAATCCTCCCTTGATCTTAAAGAGGTTTAATCAGAACCACAATATTTTCTTTATTTGGCCTAGTAGAAGGTTGCGTCAGCTAAGCTTTTGAATTGACCAATCAGAACACAGCTTACCAAATCGCGAAAGTTAATATTCGTACATACCATTTGAACTTTTACCTTGAAAACGTTTGAACCTGAACGATTCCAAATGGTATACAGAGCTCAAGTCTGTATTTCAGTATTTATATGTGTTTTCAGTCAGCTAAATTTCATGTCTCTGCAGGCATGTTGAGATGTACAATATGTATGCTGTTTTTGCAATAACTTTTACACTCACACTTTTCAAACATTTCTGTTTCAGTTGAAAGAAAGGAACTCCAGCAATGGTAAGGACTTTCAGAAAATATCATTTTTAAAAATTCATGGGGTTCCTAGGGATATTGGGATATTGAGCTAAACCCTCACAGTATTGAAATTGAGCAGGTTCCTTGGCTCCTTGGGTGTTTTTCTGAAGTAGACCAAAGTAGGTCGAGTGAGTGAGTTTAGTATTACGCTGCTTTTAGCAATATTCCAGCTATATCGTGGCGGTCTGTAAATAATCAAGTCTGGACCAGGCAATCAAGTGATCAACAGCATAAGCATTGATCTACGCAATTGGGAACTGATGACATATGTCAACCAAGTCAGCGAGCCTGACCAGCCGATCGGGTTAGTCGCCTCTTACGGCAAACATGGGTTACTGAAGATCAATTCTGACCTGGGTCGATTTTGTGGTCATGTGTACAAGGTGTCTGACCTCGGAGAAGAAAGTCTGTGGTTCGAATCCCCACCTGTGACTTTATTTTATCACCCTGGTTTGGTTTGTTTGTTGTTTAATGCCGTGCTTAGCAATAGTCCAGCTATATGACAGCAATCTGTTTTTAATCAAGTCTGGACCATACAATCCAGTGATCAACAGCATGAGCATCAATCTACACAAATAGGGATACAATATGTCAACCAAGTGATCAAGCTTGACCACCTGCATTACGTTTAAAGCTAGGGCAATGTCAAGGGTCGCTCAAGGTGTTAAACTTGGAACACTGGCTCAAGCCTTTACTTGCGTAATGGTGTTTGCAAAGACCTGTGAGCATTATAGCACATTGCATGCACACTGATTCTAATTTTATTACAAAATGACATGTGCAAATGCCAAACTGAAATTCAGTATTTCTCCTTGAATAAACAGTTATCAATAAAAATGCCAAATTCATAATGCATTTAGTATAAATGACAGGATTCTGTAAAGAGGGTTTCCTTGCAGAGTATTAATAATCTGTGAGAAGAAATTATTATTAGATTTGTTTATGAGAGGGTTAATGTTGTTTCAGTCGGACATATTCCAAGTATTGTCATGGCATGAGATCATGATAGGGCGTGATGACATAAATCGAGGTCATTGTGTATAGAAGTTACTGTATGATCATATTCTCACTGAGCTCTTTGTCGCCACCATTGTTGTAGTGGAATATTCTGTTATGGAATTCCCAGGGGTTATGGAATTTGATGGGGTGATGGATGATCAGTGGGCTTTATCAGACTGAAAATGTCATGACTAATGATATGTCAATTTGTCCCGGTTCATCAAGATGGACTTTTAATAGTTAGCCTGTGTGGGCTGGGTAGAATGCAGAGATGCCAACATCTATAATTTTATCAGAGGGCCCAAAAAAATAAATGTTGTGGTTCCGATTTCCTACATTTCAGAACTAGGTAGGTAGGGCTTTGGGTTTTTTGCAAAATATTTTACATTACTCAGGTGTCAGAAAATAAATTTAATTTATTATGTGGTGAGTAAAATTGTTAGGCTCAGCGGGAATATTTAGGGTCGGTCGGGAAATCGGAACCACAACCTTTTGTTTTTAGGCCTAGTCACTACGAATTTTAGCCTCAAACTACATCAGTATGACTGCATTAGAAATTCTACGAAATTTGAAGAAAATTAAAAAAAAATTGGATATATGGACAACATATATTTTCACGATTGAATACATTTTCGCCATAAAGAGACAAGAAATTATTATGATGATAATTTGGAACCAGCTGTTGGAGGTATGTGAAATTGAAGCTTCTCTCTTGATTAGTGTCATATTATCTTTCTCAGAATCCATCATGATTTTTAGTATTCGGGTTGATTACTAATTTTATGGTCAAACTACTAGTTTTGATCCTTGAAACTACTATTGCAATACTTAGGGTTGGCATCTCTGAGAATGTGTTCCCTTGAGAGCCCTGTTGTTTTGGTCATAACAGGTGTAAGAGGCTCACTGCTCACTCACTCACTCACTCACTCTCCTTCCCTCACTCACTCACCCACTAAGGGGTGAAACGGCACGCCTTACCATGGTAACGGTATGTATTGTGGTACAAGGCCTTCGGTTCGGTCCGCTTCGCTTCGGTACATGTGAACTTACTCCTGGGGAAAATAGTTGCCCTCTAGCCAAAAATGCATAGATTTTTGACAAAATGATTCGATTCCTAGACATTTCAGAAAATGTTTTAAAAGGTTAATAAAATGAAAACGGAAATACCAAATCTTTGGATTGCATTACGGTATAGCTTAACTCGAAGGCAGAATACCGCTGTTCTACTAATACCAAGAGTATATACCGCTTCACGGCCCTATCACCCACCCACACCTTCACTCACTCACTCAACTCCCTCATTCATTGATCACTCACTCACCCTCCTTCTTCACTCACTCTCCTTTTTATTGTAGGTATAAGGACTTTAAGCGAGATTGTCCAAGTGGTGTCTTAAGGAGAGAGGTAAGTGACAGCTTCAGCCTTAACACAAAAGATATTTTTCTTATTTCAAGAAACACGGAAAGTCCTCAACATATTGTGTTGGACATGTATCATTATGGCGTGGGCAGGGATGGATACATCCACTAGTGTACTAGTGTACTAGTAACAATTGAGATTGACTCACTCACTTTATCCCAGAATCTAGTTATTTTGCATAACCTCTTGTCAAATGCAAAAGTTGAATGGGAACATTATGGTGCTTCCATGGCTGAAGAAACACCAGATGATCAACAGAGGTGTGCAGTGTTTGAAGTAAAAACAACAAGCCTGCTAGCCCGTGGCTAGTAAAAATCCAGTGGGACCAGTAAATCTTCACATTCACTGGCCTGACTGGCAAGTGACTTTTCATGGGGACATTTGTTTTTGGTAGTATTTTACTTTTTTGTAATCTTTGGCTTAGTTTCTACATTCAAATTTCGTGGCAGGCATAGCTAGCCCGAGTGGCTAGCAAAATTTGGAAACTATTTCGCACACTGCATCAGGCCAACAGATTGTTTAACATGTTGAGACTAGACCAGGCATTCAGTGTTCACGAATGGTGTTTTAAAGTAACAGGACATTGGGTCCTGTAAGTTTCAGATGTCTGTCTGACCCATTGAAAATTCACAGGACCCATAGAATAAAATTAAACACACATTTCAGATTTAACATTTCTTATAATTGACATTGAAATTATTAACAAACATAAGATTTATAAACAGCAAACAAGTGAAACATGTCACATACAACAACTTCGGTCGAAGTTATTGTGCAATATACACTCAGACACTGGGGCCTGAGGATTGTAGATTTCTATCGGACCGTTGGTGAATATGCCGGATTTGTCAGAGGGTCAGACATTATTCGTGAACATTCGTGGCATTTATGTCATGTTTGAGAAAAAATTAAAGATTGCAGCTGAATTACTTCCAGTTAAAGAATAAAAGGGAAATGGGAGGACAAGCAACAGTCCCTTATCATTTTGATTAAGTATCATTAGTTTTTTCATATATTACGTACATATTGCAGGGCTCGATTTAGTGCTTTGTTACTTGCACTGGTGCAACCCAATATTACAAAGTGCAACCTAGTTATTAGTCTAACTTGCACCAGGTGCAAGTCAATTTTTGAGTGGGTAAACTTTTGAATAAAACATCTAAATAATTCAATAGCATATTTCTGATATTACATATTGCAATAAAAACAGTGCAACTGGAATTTGACTGGTGCAACTAGGTTTTTATCTTAGGTTGCACCTGGTGCAAGTAGGTTAACATCTCTCAAATCGAGCCCTGTATTGCTTTCTTCGCCAAAGACTAATTTTAGTTATTTGATGATGCTAGAGTCCAGTCTTGTAGCATAAGTTTCATTAGAACTAAGTTATATCGTGTGCACTACAGTATCAACAGCCAAGCTTTGTTTGTTTGTTGTTTAATGCCACACTCAGCAATGGTCAAGCTATATGGCAGTGGTCAGTAAATATTCAGGTCTGGATCGACAATCCAGTGATCAACAGCATGAACATCGATCTACGTGATTGGGATATGATGTCATGTGTCAACCAAGTCAGCGACCTGACCACCCGATCCCCTTAGTCGCCTCATGTGACAAACATGGGTTTCTGAAGACCAATTCGGATTACCTTCATGGGTAATTCTTACCAGAGCTGAGCTTACTTGACTTAACAAAATACTGCTTGGTCTTTGACTGACTGACTGAGTTTAGTTTTACGCTTTTTAGCAATATTCCAGCAATATCACGGCGGGGACACCAGAAATGGGCTTAACACATTGTGCCCATGTGGGGAATCGAAACCCGGTCTTCGCTGACGAGCCAACGCTTTAACCACTAGGCTACTCCCCAACGCCCCTTGGTCTTTGAATTAAGACTAGTGGGTATAGTGCAGGCTGATAATATACACAGTCAGTGATTCAGTCATTTCAGTGCTCTCCGAGCAGGCATCTTGTTCATGAGCATATATTTTGATTTTACGATGAATGAGCTTCAGAAAATACTAAATGTAAGTTTCCTAAAAATATGCACATAGGTTAAATTCGCTTTTAAATATTGTCAAATTTTGCTTAAAGTTTACATATTTTTGTCAAAATTGGACTATTTGAATTTCACTTTTTACATTTTCATTCGTGTTATTCAATTACTTGAACAACTATCAATGACTGTATCAAATTTTGTTAAATTATTTTCATAAATAAGACTTTTAGACATGTTTTTGTGTGACATGCAGAATTTACCTATCCATGTTCAGGCAGTCACTCGAATGAATGACACCCTCTCAGTTAGTCACTTGTACGTGTAACGGGGGACTGTCTCGCGTACATGTTACATCCTCTACTTAATGAGCCATTGCACACACACACCTCTGCATGTTTTACAGAACACTTTGACCGTCTCTAGGGCTGGGCAATATAACCGGTTTACCGGTATATACCGGTTCAGACATGAAAACAATATGTATTGCAATACGTTGATCGAAAACCGGTATTTTGACATGCATTCGGAAAACTTAGTAACACTCGAAAATCTTCAGATATTTCCATTTTTTTACACCGGAAGCTATGCGTGTTGTAAAATGGTGACCCCCAACAATGAACAATTTATTGTGGTGCCAAATACTTTGGCAATGACATCGGTAAGGCAGCATTTTTGGTTGAAAAAGTTCACAGTAGATGGAACTATTGATAAGAGGAGCGCGGTATGTAAAATATGCAATGGCAAAGTAAATTAAAAGTTTTTATCAAAGCTTAATCAAGAATAATGATTGTGTTGTGTTTTTGCTTTATAAATCAAGCTTCAACGTCCTGCAATATATTGCAAGACATATCGCAGTATAAGCTTTCGCATCGCAATATATCGCAATATGAACATTCTCTGCAATACCCACCCCTAACTGTCACGCAATGACATGTGATGGAACTCATCCCCCATTTTTTTGAAATGGTCATAATCCTTCTGTTTCTGCTAAACGTCTTCAAGACATTGTTGTTTTTTCTGTGGTTCATCGCCTTCAACATATTTCTGCATGTTGATCCGAGTCTGTGATAAACACCACACAGCATGTTAATGCCTAAAACTACACAATAGGGAGCTCATGTTGTGACAGGTGATATGGTTTATAACGACTTGAAGTGATTGTGCTTGGCACAGATGTGGAAGTACTTAAGGTTAAAAGTTAAAAAGGGACCGAGTTAAATGTTTAAAAAAAGTTTCTTTGACAGTTTCTTGCTAAATATATTTATCACTTGCCATGTTATTTTTCAAACTTTCTTTTAACAATATATAAAATCACATTATTATCATGATATCTTGGGGTAGCCAAGTGGTTAAAGTGTTCGCTCGTCATGCAGTAGACCCGGGTTCGATTCCCCACATGGGTACAATGTGTGAAGCCCATTTCTGGTGTCTCCCACCGTGATATTGCTGGAATATTGTTAGAAGCGGCATAAAACTAAACTCACTCACTCATGATATCTTACTTATTCTTTTACGCAATGTAATACGCACTACACACTATGCACCATGCAATTACGCAGGCAATATGTACACATGGAAACCTAGCTTAGAACCACATCATAATGTTTTGGTCTGGAGTAAAAATGTGTTGGTCAGGGTACAAGAATGTAGGATGACATCAGAGTTTTACCTTGCCTTACAATACCTCATTTTCTTTCTACCTTTTGTGGATTCAATATTTTGTACCCAAAACGTATTGATTGTGTTATGACACAAAAACATATCATTTCAGCAAATTCGTGTATAAACAAACAGGTATTAACAAAATCAATAATAATTTGAAATTCATGATTAAACATTTATATTGTATCTGCTGTCCTCAAGAAAACAGTAATTTATTTCTGCAAGGGTCCTCACAGGAAATATAAAGGTCATGTAAATTAAATTAAATTAAATCAAATCAATTATATTTAGGGATGCCACGATACATCGATGCATCAATACTTTTTCTAAGACAATACAATTATCGATACATTCAAAACTGTATCGATATTTAGTTTTGAAAGTATCGGTTTAAATATGTTAATGTATTGTTTACATTTCACAATGGCATCATGTTTTTTGATGTTATGAGAGTTATAAATGATTATTTTTCATGCACAAAGATGGGAAATTAGAACTTTTTAATCTCTGAGAATCAAAAATGTTGTTATTTTCATGGACAATTATAAAATATGAAATATTAATGTTCAAAATGTCACTAAATTTACGCAATGTTGCTGCAAAAATAGGTATCGTGATACGTATCGATTCATGAAACTTATGTATCGTGACATCCCTAATTTTAGTAATTACATTACATTACATTACATTACATTACATTACATTATTTGGCATTTCCATTTATTGTCAAAAATTTAGAATAATGGACATTAGTTTGTATCCTAAGAATGCTGTAACAAAATATTTCTGTGTCCATTCTACTCATTTGTGTGACTGGACGCGGCTTTCTGCCTCGTGTAAAACCCTGGAAATATAACCCAACTCTACAACTTGCACCCAACCATGAAATAGCCTCCCAGCAGTGTTGGGACAGGTGCCATGTATTTGTTTGAGATACAAACAGGCACTCAACAGTATATTTTTAACCTTGAAGGATCAGTGCACTGATAACATTGTACATTCCAGTCCATGCCAGGTCAGTTGTCACACTAATATCATTTATGTCTATCACAAAGCATTTTATTCGGGATTAAGCCAGTGATTGAAGTGTGTGGTAGACTCATGCCTTGTCTCTGAAAATCTATAATTTTATCAGAAATAAGGAAGTACCTTCACACTAGAAAGGAGCCCTAGAAAGAATTGAGAGAATTTGTAGAAAATAGAAAGGGGATAGGGGTGCCAATTGATGGGGAATCAACTATTGTGATAGCGATTGTCTATTGCGACCAACTATTGCAATGCTGTAAATCAATAAAATAATGCGAGCTACTTATTAATGCGAAAAATGT